ATGTATTCTGGCATGAATAAATATATCTCCCATTCAAGACAATGAGAACACCATTATGGAAAAAAGGAAATAGGATTTGATTTACAGTGGATAACAACAAAAGACATAACTGGAAATGTAATACTCCCCCTTGGTCTCAAAATGGAACTGGACACCTACCATGCTGGATACTTTACTAACACTATAATGTTACAGTCTCTGATCTAGAGACCTTTCATGGTAACTGTAGAAACAGAGACCACAAATGAATCTACTAAACAGATGGCAGCAATCAGAGCAATGGATGATGGGCAAATCCATAGCACTATAAAAGACTGAAGTATTTTCAGTTCTATTTAAAGGGTAGCCAACTCACAGGCTACAAGGGCAAGTCACAGCCTGTCCCTTCTACAACCGGTAGGAGGAGGCAATGCTCCTCCAGTGAGCCCTACGGACCACTGACCCAGAACAGAGACACCTAAAGGTGAAATAAGGGCCGGGGCACAAGCACAATGCCACATGCACAAAAACAGAACAGCAAGCGCAGGTAAGTTTTTCTTTGCCTCTTATATCTGCAGATCGGGCAGGCAGAGTTTCACCCCACCCTCAGCACAGCATAGTCTTTCACACATAGGCTTAACTTCCTTTCCTTTTTCCCCAGTTTTCATACTTGTTTTTAATCAAATATTCACAGACTTTGTTAGCAAGCAAATAGAAGAAATAGACTTTCAGACAGACAGACAACATTAAAAACATCTCCAAAAAAACAACTCCAGCCACATAGCCACTAAGGACAGGGTTGCTGGTTACTGCAGTCCCAGGGGACTTGCTTCCTGGAAGAAGCAATCTTTTCCTCTCTGTCTGGAGTCTGCGCTCTTGGACTTCTATTTGTTCCCTCCCGCAAGAAGTTGCAATGTTTTTAGTATCTGTTCTCTGACACGCCTATGTGCCTGCACCTGACACAAATGAGTTCATATTGTATTTTAGTCAACAGAATTTAAATGTGACTATACAAAATCTGCATGGCAAATAATGAGAATACAAGCAGTTTTCACAGCTTACTTTGTTCTGTGTTTACAGCCTGTTTGTTTCCTGAGTGCCTCTGTGGCTGGGTGGAGGATAAGGGCATAATTAAACTTTAAACTTTTTTTTATTAATTTCAGTTAACAGTTCCATAGAGAGGAAAAGTGATCTTTTCTGGAATGACTGTAATTTATTGCCTTCTCACTCTGATGTTGCCTACTGTGAGTGGAAAGCTGTAAAATAATGCGTGTGAGCAGATTTGTACCTGAACCTCAGGGCACATGGAGACATCCTTCCCCAGGCTCCCAGAAGCAACCTCTCATTTTATAGGCAAGCAGAACATATCTCTGGGTCCTCACAGTCCAATTAATTTCCATTTTCCCAGCCCAATGAACATTTCTCTCTGACCACTTATATGGTCACCTAAGAGAAGCTTTGACATAAAAGATATCACCCAAATACAGCATTAGTTTTTTCATTCTGAACTTCCGAAGTCTGCAGCTCAGACCAAGGCAATAATACAGCTGAGCTCTTAGAAAACGGGTCTCCTCTCAGCAAAAATTGCCACTATAACTGGTGTCACTCACACTGCCACAAAAGAATCAAAAATAAGAGGTGGCAAAGCTTAGCACGTCACCTAGTGTACTCCTCTGCAAGTTTGTTATTGTTCTCTGCACTTTTTCCACACAATTTGACAAGACTTGTTTAAAAATGCCCAAAGCAATTAAGTTTGAACATCTTCCCTTGAGAGACAATCCCAGGTTGTAAGAGATTTCACTGTCTGGATAAGTTCCCTGATACTAAAATCTAAATTTCTCCTCTTAATAATTTCCTCTCATTATTTTTTTCTTCATACCCATTGTCAAACTCTTCCTCTTCATACAGTACTACATCCTTCCATTAGATAAAAGCACCATCTCTTACTCTTTCCTAATTTAACTGCCACATTTTCCACTTCATTTTTGTGCGTCTTGGCAACAGAGCCAAAAAATGAATTTAGCTTAATTTAAAGTCTCTACACCCATTGGCACTATGTGGGGAGATGACTGGTGCTGCTGTTATGCACTTATGTTGCCAGTTTGGAGGCCAGTGTGAACACAGTAATTTACCTAAATAGTTGTAAAGAGATTCTTTAAAATCATAGAAATATTTACTTTCAAACCCTTTCCTGAAAAAATGAGTCAGATCAGTACAGGGTATACAGCAAATTTCATCTTTTTGTAAAGCATGGAAATTACATGGGAAAGGAGGGCAAAGCCACACAGAGCTACAGCAACATGGAAGGCAACTCTAGATTTCACGCTCACCTGGTTTGCCTTGTGTACATAATATGCTTTAATTCAGAATCTGCTTAATGTTTAAAAAAAAAATACATAACACTATCAGTAGTAGCTCCTTAATCATTTTCAATATCCAATATAATATCTAGCCAAAAAGTATTGCTAAAATTTTGGTAGTTGGTAAATAGTACATGATACGTTTAGATACAGAACACTCATTTAATGAATTTACCATTCTAAAAGATGGTAAAGATAACAAAAAGCATATGAGGGCATTTGCATTCTGAATCCAGCAGAGCTACACATCTAGCAATCAAGCTCATGAGCATGCCCTAGATGACAAAAAATACATTAGAGTACTTTGAAAAGGCCTGCAAGAAAATCTGATAATCTCGGTTTTGTCAGCTGCAATTCAACAACACTTTTGTAAGTAGTTGAAACACCCCAGACCAGATAAGCATTGTACCTGAGGGCATAATCAGTGGATGTAAATAGATAACAAGGAGGACATGATCTCAAGAACTATGCTTCTACGACTATATTGGAACAAGATCTTGTATATTACATCAAAAGGCAATTTTCAGAATGTCTGAAAAAATAGCAAAAGAGTGCAAGTTGCCTGCCTTAGTGTAAGATAACAAAATCACAGCAGGTGCTGGTGCTGAGAGCAGACCATGATTAAGGGCAAGAGCACATGGGTTTCATAATGCTGACGTTCCCCACCAGCTAAAGGGCCACTTAGAGCCACCTGGGGCAGACCGCAGCCCCAGTCTCAGCTGAGTTCTCAGCAAATTCTTTGTTCAGAAGAGGGTCAAATCTCCTGAGTGTTACATAGCAGTATGAGCGATAAGACTATCTTGCTTTCCCACTCATAGTACAACTGCAAGAGCCAGGCATGGTCCTGCTTTTAAAATGTGGAAAAATGCAGTGTCAGTACTAGGATATTGATTTTGGTTATATTGTGTTACATAGCAGGCATAAAGCTCAATTCTCAGAAACGCTGCTATAATTTCAAGTTAAAGGATTTCAAATATGCATAAGTAGCACAAGTTATTTTTGCTTCTTGTTCATCAGCTCCAACTGAAGTTAGCAGGAGGCATTTCCTGGCACTGAAAACATTACATCTCGAGTGTCTATTGTGTTAAAGCAGTGTAGTTCATGCTATCACACTTAAATCCAGAGTATTTTGTTCAGGGGTAGCTCTACTCACTTTCATCCTACTTTCACCATGCGAAGTAATAGATCACCCACTGCGTAATGGTATATGGCCAACTCTAAAAGCACTGCTCCTCCCATAAAACCCAGCAGATGTTTATTTTTGCTATGAATAATAGAAGTTGGTTGGTTTTGCTTTGATTTGACAGTGCAGGGTCTCTGCTGTTTTCCTAGATTGCTTTGGCCTCATCTGAATTTAACGTGTTTTTTAGCAGTTGTCTAGTAGGCTGGGTGATGGTTATCTAACCTATTTTTATCTTAAATTCTACAAATACAAAAATAGTATTTGGCAAAAGTCTGACATACCTAGCTAGCCCCAGCATAAGAAACAATAGCCTTTTACTCTATTTGATGCTGGAATGGAAGTTTCAAACTTGAGTAGGAAAAAAAAAACACAATGAAAAGAGAACAAACTGTAATGAAAAGTCCATAGAAACGAAGCCAAACAAGGCTATGAGCAAGGATGTTTCCACAATGCCTGCTATACATCTACTGGTGAAAACTTCAGCAAGCCCATGACCTGTTACAGCCCCACTTATATATATATATGCCATTATCTTTTTCCTAATATTGACTCTGGAAAACTTAGTTGTCTCATAAAACATTTGTACTGCTTGCTTTTTTTTAAAAAAAAAGCGCAAGTTGATGTTCACAATAGCAAAGGAAGCTTCATCAAATTTGCACTGCTGCACCATGCTGCAAGATTTTGTGCATCGTGTTTCTCATAAATATATGGATGGATACAATGCATACAATACAATATCCATACAATGGATATACACATAACAAATACAACAGGAATTAAACTTGCAGATTTTTTCTAAATGAGTATTTAATAAATTTTATATTTGACTACAGCACAATATAGTCCCTTGCTAGAGCTGCAATACTTCAGGAAAGCTTCCTGGCAAACAGAGTCATTCCTCATGAATGTAGCATGATCTTAATCACAGCTAACAGATAAATTAAAAGTGTCAAAAGTTAGGGCAGCAGGGTAAGTGGATAAATGGGAAAAGAGTAATAACAAAGAACAGCAGGAACTGAAAAATATGTTTCCTTACGTTAGAGATTTTTCCTGCTCTCTATGTTTTTGTACTTTAGTCCTTCTGAAGCAACCTGCACGTGCCTTGGTCAGCGGATAGATAGATGCTGTTAGAGGCACATTAAGCTGGCATTCAACTACACAATGGTGTACAAGCAAGGAAGGGCAACGTGACGCCAGGAGTGCCTCATAACAATGCCATTCGCTGAATGGTTTCCTTTAACATCACCTACTTAATCTAAAGAAAATCTGAGCCTTGGAGGCAATGCTTAGACGCTATTCCCTCTGTGGAAATTTGGAAAGCTACAACAACTCGTGTGCTTCCCTTTACTTGCTCTGTTTCAGAAATCAGTTGAGAAATTGAAAGAAGATAAGCATAAGGTTGGGCAGCGCAAATACAGTTCCTTTAAGACCAAGAAAGGTAGCACTCACAATCCAGTAATAAAGAAAAAATTGCTTACCTCTTTCTGAGGATTAGAGCTCGCCAAACTCTCCAGAGGACACCATCTCCAAGCAGAGACCTGCCCTCGCAGCTGCCAGCCCTTAAATGAGGTTAGGGGACACAGGCAGATTGCTTCCACCTGTGCTCCCAGGGCTGGCTACACCCCTTCACCAGGTGCTCAATCACTGGTTCAGGCTGTGACCTAACGGTTCCCATACAGTAAGATAAATTAGAGATCTCCTTAGACCCTTGCTTGTAAAGAAATTTTGCACGTCAGAACTACTACTGCTGAATATCTGGCAGGGAATATTTGCTAAACAGAGCAGTTCAATGCAAGGAACCCCAGATTCACTCAGGCTGCCCAGGACCACCTCACCTACCCAAGCTCAAACCAGGGTTAACTGCCAAGGTAGAGCAGGTTGCTCAGGGCCTTCTCCAGCTGGGTTTGGAAACTCCCCAGGACTGCAAATCCCACATCATTTCTAGGCAACCTTTTCCAGAGCTAAACTGTGGTAGGATTTTTTCCTCAATGTACATAAATAAAATCAGACTTGTCTTCCCTCATCGATACCTTTTCTCACTTAGAAGGTGATCTCCTTGCCAGTTTATCACCAAAGCCAACAGAAGAGAATAGTTGTCAGTCTTTAGGCCCTCCATGCTACCATCTCCTAGGTAGATCTGGATGATCATACCTGTTTAATCAGTTATTTTGAATGCAATAAAGAAATTTCTAGAATAGGAATAATGTTCATACAGCTCAGCTTAAAGAATAATTGTTGTCAAAGAGGTCACTTACATTTGTGGTTGCCCATTACCTCAAAATCACTTTTAACTCAGATAAGATGAAAACATGAGTTAAACAAGTAAAAGTTTGCAAAATGTGAAGTAGACAAACATTTATAGAGATGTAGATATGCAAGTTAACCATGGAAATTAATTGAAGATAGTGTGCAAAGGGATTTATATCATCTCATTGTGTCAATTCAGTTTCCTTAGTCTCAAGGCAAAGACCCAGTCCTGTCTTTGTGTATTGTTTCCATTGGAAAGGATCTGCCCTGAATGGGACATGTTTTCCTCTGGAACCCAGATAGAGCTGTGTGCATAATTCACTTCCAAAATTTTTCCCCTTTCCCTCCTCACTAGAAGCTTAGATGCCTTCTGAAGAATTTGCAAACTGACAGCTTGCTTTGAAGGGAAATGCACCTCTATAAACCAGGTCTGTTCCAGCCCTTGTATCTAATGTAACAGGATTTGCATGGTGAAGAAGGCAGAAATTATTGCTTTTTGAAAATAAAGAACTGAATCCTTGAATACCATTAATGCTCCTTCAGCTCTGAAAAAGTTTTTAATCAGCAAAAGGAACAAGGTTCATAAACAACCGTGTATGCATTTAAAAAAAAGAGGGGGAAAAAGGGCAGAGTAGAGTCATTTTAAAAGTATCTCTTTACATGATATATAGGTCTGCTTAAGCAGCCAAAACAATTTCTTTCAATTGCTACCTTTTCCTAAAATGATTTCTACTGTAGACTTTTCAATATCTGCATACTAAGTTACTTATAAATTTGCTTTCCCAACCTCATAAACATTGACTAGCCAGCCATGAGGCTCCAAATAGTTTGGAGCGCAGCAGAGAAGAGGAAACAGCACTCAGTGATATGAGTAATGCCAGCTGAGCTGATAGCAGACCTGACAGTCTTAAAATGACCGTCTTGTAAAGGAGATGTTTCAAACAATGGCAGACAAATGGACTGTACTGGATTAATCACATTTTAAAGGTGTTGAGTGTCAGGAATGGCAATGTATTGTGTTTGTCAAGACTGTAAACAGGCACAAGAAATAATGCATTCCATTTCCCTTATCCTATTTTCTTCTTGCCACAGTGTAGTTGCCTCTAAGACTAGAACGCAGCTGTGCATCACCCCATGCACACAGGCACCACGTTAAATGCTAAGACAATTGGAATTGGTACTGAGCTTTACTTTAAGCTCCTTTAGTACCTCAACTTACCAGAGACTTGAAAGACTGGGTCTTGTTTCACCTTCCTTTTTATTACAATACTGATAGGGATGGCTTAAAAGAAAAAGGGGAGAAAGGAAGGAAAAGTGGTGGTTAGGGAACAACTGCCTTTCAAAAAATAATAATAATCCAAGCCACATCAATTTGCATACAATAAGTTACATCATTGGTTGCATTAAGAATCCTTTTATGTAACAAGGGGGAAAAAAGGGAAAAAAAATAAAACTCAATAAAATGTGGAAAGCACTACTAAGCAACTAAGATTGCCTCTAATACCCAAGTTGGATCATCCAAGGTTAGCTTATGCATTATTAGGTAATGATAGCCTACAACATGAAGAAATACCATGCCCCCATGCAGACCTCTATAAGAATCCACAAAAATGGAGAGCAGTATGTCTGAAGCACCACTCATTTCATTCAGTAACACAAACTCTAATGTTTATTTTAAAGAGTTTTCTTGGCTCTTAGTCTTTAGTAGTTGTAGAAAATGTGAAGCTGAATTTCTTAATTGAAAAAAGACAACAATAAAAGAGAGGTACAGAAACAATGTCAGGATATAGACTTGTCATCAGCACTGAATTAAACATAATCCTGGACAGGTGTGACACATTTCCAATGAGAATCAGTAGTCAGAAATTCTCTTGTCCTAATATTAGTCTACATTCTTGAAATTCAGCCCATAAAATAATTGAACCTAAGGCCAGTTTTAATAAAGACATCTTTTATCAAAACCACACAAAGCTCAGACTCAAGATGAAAGGGAATGGAACATGGGAATACTGAATTGAAATGTATTCAGTGTTTTTAGAGATTAACTTCTGATTATAATATGTTTCATAACAAAAGCAAAAGACAACCAGGTATCCCAGTAAATTTCAACTAAAAAAAAAAAAAAAAATTTGTTCATTTCCTACAACCAAATGCTTCCCAATCTTAAGAGGCAACTGAATAATTAAATATCCCTACACACATAATTTCTGTTTTAATTAAGTATTCTCTCTTTCCAAATTCTCTTTGTCAGAATAATGTCACAAAGCTTCTAGCAGCTGGATTTTCCATATCATTCTTTCAGAAAAATCAAGCTATTCTCACATACAACTTAAAATTGCCGTATTTAATCACTTTTGCATTACTTGTGAATTCTTAATCTTAAGATAGATGTGCAACAAATACCTAACCACTTGAGCCTTTGCTCTGCCCCCACCCCAAACATTCATCATTTGGTGCATTTCAGAGTAAATTTGAAATTTTTTTGATACAATTTGTTCTTGGAATCTGACTTTGATTGTAAAGCAAGAAAGGTAGAAACATAAGAAAAGCTCTCAACATTTTAAAATTTTCCAGACAAGAATATTTCCACACTGTGGGCATGATTTAATTCCTATATAATGCTTTCTCTGTTATCCACTGTTTCTTTAAGAATTTTTTTTTTTCTTTACATATTTGCCTTTCCACTTAGCTACCATAAAATGTACCACATGCTTTCTCATTACAGAATACCAGAACAGATACAACTGTACCGTCTCCTGATGTATATTCATCTCATGCAAACAATTTCACTTGCTTTCCCAGAAAATGCATTAATATTTTCAATATTTTAAGAGACAAAGTTTGCAGCTTTTTAATCAAAGTACTACAAGTGTAAATTTCTAGCAGCACAATGACATTCACAGACTGTATTTTGGATATAGTGATGTAAAGTGTGTTGTATGGGTAAAGTGCGCTGTATGGGTAAGAATTGTCATGTATATGGCATAGGTTACCATATACATGACAATAGAATAAGGATTTGGTGCCTGCTTTTTGGCGTCTATTCATAACACAATATCACAATAGATGTAGATGCATGAAGGAATGCTCTAGTCATCCAAATCTGCTTGTGCTAAGCAACCACACTGTGGGATGTGCATTAACACAGTATCTCCTAGTTCATGGTTAGTATGAATAGTTTTCATATGTCTTCAAGTGAGTCAAAGAGTATGCAGAGGAAAACGCTGTAGCCAACCTTGGCCAACATCACAGTACCACTTCAGTTGGAGAAGTACATATCTGAGCATTCAATGAGTGCTACAATGTGCACAGCATTCTCCAGGAGGGGTCTGACAGTGCAAGGAGACTTCAAAAATGTGCTCAGAGGAAAAAAAAAAAAAGATGGAACAGCTCATGAGTCACATGATGTTCATAAGCTGGAACATTACTCTTCAAATCAAGAGATCAAACTCACTCATTAAACATACGGTCTATGGTCTACCAAATAAGGCACACGCTTCCTAACTTCAAGCCTTTGAGTAGAAGGAGCTGCTAAAATCAGACTGTAGCATTCAAACTATTTGGGTATGCCTTCATAACAAATCCATCTAAAGCATATACTTTATGCTGAAGCAATATTGTGCACTCTACTGTTAAGCAGGTAACAGGACAATTCTGCTAGATAAAAGAGAAAAACATGCAAAAGAATATTTTTTTTTAAACTCAGACTAGAAAAGGGAAAGAGGCACTTGACTGTGACTCTGAAATTCTGCTGTATATTAAGTTCTTGTTGAAAGACTAATCAGAGAAAGTCTGGATTTAGAAAGACATTCACATATGTAAAGGACAAAACACAGTAAATTATTTCTTTCTTCTGGACTCTGATTTCAATGAAACTTTCAGGGCAAGATTTTTCTCATAGCTTTGACGTACACATTTTGATTACTTTAACTGAGAGATGGAATAAGAATATTTATGGACTGGAATAGGAATCCAAGAAATTCACTCACTTGCAATTCTGAATCAACATACTCTTTAGTTGAGATCTGGACATCCCTGTCAGAAATCTACTTAATAAAGATAAATTCAGTTTGCAGTGGCAGTCTACATGCACTATGCTCTTTCTCTTGAATATTGTACTGGGGGAAAAAAAGCAAGCTGAAAACACTTCATTAACCAGATCTGTTAGAGAGATCCTCTATGGCACAAAAGTAATGATCAGCCCACAAATGCACCCGCAGCTACATTAGGTACCAGCCTTACCACAAGCACACTTTTTTTTTTTCCC